TCCGTGCTCTTCTGAAGGTTTAGCTGTGAGGGTCTTTTACTAATTCATGCCTCTTTAGAAGGTGATGCAGTGCGTGTTTAGAGTTGGGAGGAAGATTTCCTGTTGATTTTTCAGGAGATTTGTATCTGGCTCTGACAGTACTGGTGCTGAGGAGAGGGTGGTGTGGTGTGTATTTTCTGTGTCTCACCAGCGCACCCCTGTGTTACGGTCTGTTGAAGAAGTTCCCAGAAATTATTTGAAAGGGAACCGCTAGGTCGATTCCTGGGCTGTTAAGGATAGCACGAGGGATTTTCTTCCTAGATGTTACGTTTGTTACTCCCTGCTGAATCTGAATCAAAGGCACAAGGCTCAGATGCATTTGGACATCTCGAGCCGCTCCCTGAAAATGAGGAGCCCATTCTAGGCGAGCGGAGAATTTCCCTCCCCGAGGTGGATCCCCTGGAACGGCCTGCCGCCTTCCCCTCTCCGAAGGGAAAGTGCTGAATTGTACCTGTGCACGGCTGGGTGGCGACTGCTGCCTGCGTCAAGAGGTTCGTCAGGGTGGGGATTTCAACAGCGGACGTTCCGAATCCTGTGCCAGGCTAGGTTTATCTGTCAGATTTTGAATTCTTAATGGCCTGCAAAGTTGTATCTTGGACAAAAAAGTTGAAATAGTGACTCTGTTTGAAGTGATAAAGCACTTACGCTTGCTCCATAACCTCTGAAAAAAAGAATGTTAAGCACAGTCTTTTGCTAAATAGGGATGATTAAACTTTGTGTTCATTAATTACAGGTGACAAAATCCATGGCTTAATGTTAGCCTTTCTCAAGAGACTGAGTGGAATACCTGACAGATGCTCAAGCCTATTTGTGGTGTTAGTTTCAAATCGATGTCTGTGTACATTTAGCAAAAGGTTGTACCTTATTGCATACCTGCAACAGGTGCTAATCTCTTCTACAGACCTGGAAAACACCCATTTTTCTTAATAATTAACATCTCTGATCAAAGAAGGATTCCTTAACTGAACTTTTTTGGGTAAAAGTACATCAGTGTCTAAACTCCAGCCGCTCCCCAGCAGCCTGGGGCTCCAGACCCCTCCCCAGCTCCGCTGCCCTTCTCTGGACACGCTCCAGCCCCCCCAGGTCCTTCGGGGAGGGAGGGGCCCAACCCTGACCCCAGCACTCGAGGGGCGGCCCCCCCAGTGCCCAGCACAGGGGCACGGTCCCTGCCCTGCTCCTGCTGGCCACTGGGGTTGTGGTGACCCCAGGGCAGGACCCGGCCCTTGGCCTTGTTGAACCTCCCCCAGTTGGCCTTGGCCCATGGACTCAGCCTGGCCAGGTCCCCCTGCAGAGCCCCCTCCCCCCCAGCAGATCCACACTCCCACCCAGCTGGGTGTTGTCTGCAAACTGAGGGTGCTCTCGATCCCTTCACCCAGATCATTGATAAAGATGTTAACCAGAACTGGGCCCAGCACTGAGCCCTGGGGAACACTGCTTGTGAGCAGCCACCAGCTGGGTTCAACTCCATTCACCACAGCTCTCTGGACCCGGCCGTCCAGGCAGTTCCTAACCCAGCAAAGCGTACGCCCATCCGAGCCATGAGCAGCCAGTTTCTCTAGGGGAATGCCGTGGGAAATGGTGTCAAAGGCTTTACTGAAATCCAGGTAGACAGCATCTACAGCCTTTCTGCCATCCACTAAGCAGGTCAAGTTAAGTTTGACTTAAACTGTCTACGTGGTCAAAAGATGTGTTTTAGCAACTAGGGAGCTAGCATGGCTGGTGGAAGCTGGTAGATACTCTGATGCTTCCTCTTACAGATTTGCTTTTCTAGTTGTTTCAGCAATACCTGATACGCAAGATGACTCCTGAATTCAGGATACTCTGGGTCTTGTACTGTATTATTGCAACTGTCAGGCGCGGCTACTTAATGGCTTTTCCTTGTCTTCTGCAGCAGTGTTCTTTTTTAATTGATCTTAAAGGATTTAAAATTTGGTAGTTGGATAGATTCCAGATTTCATCTGCCTATTTTGTCTTTGTCCGCTGCATAAAATAAGGCAAATTATAAATTCCCTCTCCTCTGGAGCTTATTTGACACCTTGGCGAGACGTGGTCAAACTGAATTGGGGGGGGTATACGGCAGCATGCCTCCGTAGGGGCTGTACCTGCACCAGTGTAGTTACAAGGCTGTTGACTATTGCTTCCTATTTCAACGGTGAAAATAGCTGGGCTGGCGTAGTGCGCTGTGCCGTTGCTGAACTGGGATGAGTTCAGCATGGTGCATGTATTCATAGTTTGAAGCTTCAGTTATATTTAAGCTTTGTGCTTTAACTTCTGTTTCTAATCCAAATAAAAGCTGCGCAGGAAACTATTCGTGTCAGTCTTTCTTTTTTCTAAAATAAAATCAAAGGCAATGGAAGTAACATTTCAGCTATTTTTGTTTTCTTCTTTTTTTCTTGTAATGTTTAGATTGATGGATATTTGTATAGAAGTTAAATACTTTCTTTTTGGTCACTCGCTGCTGGCACTGCATTCCATGAGGGGACATACAATGCTCCACCATGTCAGAGTACACAAAGGAAATAGCTGAGAAATAAAAGAAACCAAAACAGTGCTAATATTTCCTTTTTATATAGTTTCCTATTTTAAACAGCAGTATAAAAAGCAGTTTTACTTCTAGGTGACCTTGTTGCAGTGGCTGTTGTTGCAGGAAGCTCCAAACGCCTGTAATATGATGTTTCTATAGCATGGAAGCATACAGAACTGGATCTGTGACACAGTTTCTTCGAGAGCCACTTCTGAAGTGTTTTATCACTCAGTGGTATTGAGCTTTTCTGCTGTTGTCAGCACAGAGACTTGAAAAATCAAAAAGTACCAGTCATGGTGAAATTTTTTAATTAAATATATCTATCTTCCACTAATGACTTCCGAAAATGTATTGTAAAAATAACATCCAACAACGAAAACAAAGCTTGAGTCATAAATGTTGTTTGTTCTGCTTCTTCCAGTTTGAAAATGAGCACGTTGAAATGCATCGCACTGTTTTAAAGCATTACAAACTGAACTCTTGAAATCAAGAATTGCAAAATGAAGTGGAAATTACCTTGATTGCCCTCAGAGGTTGTGCAGGTGAAAAGCATCAGCCCTTCTTATGAAGGGGTAGTCCCTTAGCGTGGCTCCCTGGATGCCACCCGTGGCACCAGAGACCCCGAAGCCACTGTCTGAATCGAAAGCGAGCATTCCGTGTGGCCCCTTCTGCTGCTCTTGGGTCTTTGGTGTCCTCTAGCATGGCAGTTCAGTCTTTTTTTTTTTTTTTTTTTAAGTCAACATTTCTTTTAGAAAAAACCCCAGCCACTTTCCATTGTGTCCAAGTCTGGGGTACCAGAAGAACTGATACTTAAAACCCAACCCAAACCACAGTTTATATGGAGAGGAAATTACGCTTGGGCATAAAGACTCGGTAGTGTATTGAAGAGGTCCATTTCCTTTTTTTAAGGTATCGGTGTTAAGTAGATTGCATTTAATGATGCAGTCAAAACTGTTGAATTAAAATGTTCCAAGTTTGGGGTTCTGTAATGCAATTCATCTAGCATTTTAAATATGGGCCTTTCAACTTTTATCAGCAAAAATAGTGATGGTAACTGGTTGGCAGAGTTGTCCGTGAGCGCTGACAGCAGTGTAACTGGATGACAGTATGGGAAGTACCCTCACCAAGTCTGCAGAGGCCCCCAACCTGGAAGGTTCCTCTTTAAATGTTTTGCACCTGTAATGCTGATCATTCCTTGGAATCCTTCTTTTAACCTCTCTTACACTCTCTCTCTGATACCCTTTCTAATGAAACAACCATTACATCATGGCATTTACTTTGAGCTATCAGTGTCTTTCAGAATACATGTTTGTCAAGAATTCTAGTCAAAATTGGTTAAAACCTGTAGTAGCAGTTAAGGTTTCTACAGATAGTGAATTCCCAGGTCACACTTTAAAATACAAGTGGCACATGTAAATTATAAAAAGAGGTGATAATACTGATTCCTTTTTTGTTCCCTCATTTGTTTGCTTTTTAAAAAGATAAATCCTCAGTAAATTGAATTTTTCCAAAGAATGGCTTCTCTCATTTTCACATGGTGGTTCGTAATGGGCCGACTCCAGTGAGGAGTGCTGGGGAAGTGACTCATTTGTGACCCTTGAAGAATTTGGGAACAGCATGAAACAAAGTGCCTAGTGTTCACACAGTAGGAGAAACGTCTTGGGTTTTGTGCAGTCACTCTGAATCTTACCTTTCCTGGAAAAGATGGCATCGCGAGTCTAGTTTTTACCACTGGATGTTGGGCAAGGGTTGGTAATGTGGGGCTCGGAAGCTGTGTTTGGCTTAGGAGCGCTTGAAGCCCATTTGAGGCTGAGGCTTCCTCACCTGGCTAGCGGTGGGGTCTGTTTGCCTTAGGGGGACCCCTAAGCAACCCAAGTCTTCAGGGCCTGTGGAGGCCTTCGGTGGTGGATCCTCTGGGGACTTGGTTGTACCTCTTGGCCGGTTCTGTCCTGCAAAGGGGGTAGAGGACACACGTGGAACCACTGTTCCCACCTTCCAACTTGCCTGCTCTGTGAGCTGCTGTGATTTTATCTCCTCTCAGGTTTCAAGATGCAGTCTTTTCTTTCAGCTATTAGCCTTATGAAGATTTTTGGTATTTAACAAGCAGATGCTGGAAGTAAAGAAACTTCTCAGAATTCTGACTTACTCACGTTTTTCTGCTCCTTTTGATTGCTTTGACATTTGGTTTGTAGAAAATTTATCACAAAGTAGAGGTTTGGTTTCAATTCAGAAAAAGGAACAGGTGAACTTCAGTGTTTTGTTTTCTAGATAACTAATAGAGAGATTGAATGTAGAGAAAATGAAATAATGCGTTTCTAGTTGTCTCTTGTAGGATGTTTTTCAAGGTTGTTTCATGTGTCTCAAAATTTTTTAACCCATCTTTAAAGATGCAACTTTCCATGTAAAAAAAGCTAATCATGCTTCTCTTTCTTTGTAGCTTCCAATAAAGGCTGGCCAGCAGAACACCCACACCAAAGTCAGTACGGAGCACAACAAGGAATGTCTCATAAACATTTCCAAGTACAAGTTTTCCCTGGTCATCAGTGGTCTCACTAATATCTTAAAAAATGTTAATAACATGGTAAGTTTTCTAATTTTGGATTGTTGGGTGGTTTTGCAAAATGGTTGTTATTTATTAATATCATCAGGCTGTAGAGAGTCACTCGAAATGTAGTCAAATTGTGGCTTGTCTTTTAATCTTTTTTCTTTTCACCCTCGTGTGCTAAAGTTCACCGGCACCACTGAGCTGTGTTGAACATACTGGTGGTGAGATAGTTGTGGCTGAGAAGTCTAAAGGAAGGTGGTGATTAAGGGGAACCTTCTGTTAGTCCTGGGCACGGTCTGTAGCTGGGGAGGTATGTGGCTGGCTAAGGAGTGGGGACATAAAGCTACCGAATACTACACTGGGGCTCTGAGCAATGTTTAGAGACCAGTAGAATGTGCTGCCTGTTAGAGGTTGGGGAGGACGTTTTCCATCGCGTGGGAAGGAGCCTCAGTAAGCTGGGGAAGCAGTGCTAGCAGAGTCCAGAGAGGAGGGGTGCAGCAGGCGAAGGAGCTGCTGAGCAGCAGCACTAGGAGGGGGTTTTTTCCTCATCTGTCCTGCCAGAGCATGACCTGCCAGGAATCGTTCTGGGAAAGGAAGAAGGGAAAGGATTTAAAACTTGGGCTATTTGAATTTTCCAGGCTGTTTGGATTTTTTAGCATTTGTGTGTGTGTGTGTGTATAAAATGTATATATTTTTTACAACCAGATGATTTTCAGTCAGAACCTTGTACGAAAAGATCTTTTAAACCAATCTCGTGTCTAATAGTGCCACCCATGCCTCCAAAGGGATGCCCTGCTAGGCAGTAAGAAAGGTGAATGAAAAATGTGTGGGAGTGATACACATCTCTTCCATTTACTGTCTGATACGGATCGCAGCCTCTCGTTAAACCACTTAATGTTGATACTTGAGGGCAGTACACTGGTGTGAAGGGATGAGATTCAAGGTGATTTTTCTGAGTTCACAAAGAGAAATCTTTAGAGCCAGGTGTCTAGTTGATGGTTTCCTTCTGCATGCTGGTTTTTTGCCTCCAGGGGAACCATAAAATGATTCCTGAAATCCATCAAAGTATTTGACTCCTCAGCATCACTAAAACTGTCTTTTAAAATAGATCTCAGTGGAACTGAAAAGAAGAGAAACCTAGAAAGAAAAAAAAAAAAGTGGCTGTCCATAGTGTGTTGACTCTAGATAAATAACCATTACCATCAAGTTGGGTAAATGGAAAGTTTAGGAATACTTTATAAAGTTTAGTTCATTAAATTTTGAAGCAGCGTGGTTTGTGATCACGTGGAATCTCCACAAACTGGTAACAGAACTGGCCAAACTCAAGCAGTGCTATTTTTTTTATAGTTTTAGTAAGATAGTTTGCAGTGAGCTCTTCTGGATGTCAGTTGTGTAGAGATCTGCATCTGCTAAAACACTACGAAGGACTGATAAAATCATAAAAATAGGTTGCCCTACTGCTAGGGATTTTAGGCTGCTTAAAGCTACCTGTAATCCCTTTGGAGAGAGAATTTATTTTAATTGAACACCATAGGCATAAAGGAATGTATTGAAGTGTAAGATGGTTGTCTAACAAATGAGAAAACTATACTGTTAAGTCTCTGTATATGATACATAGATTTTGAGAGGAAAGACCTAGCTAAAAATGTCACTAAAAACCGGCAACATTTGCTTTGCACTGAGGAGCAAGACTTAACATTTTTTGTTTGATGGACTGAACTACTGTGTGAATCAGCAATATTTTTGAAGGATTTCTATAGCTGAAAGAAAACAGACCAATAGACTGTCGTAATGGTCTTAGGTTTGGAAAGATGTCTTGAGGGTTTGCGCTCTCACGTGGCTTCTGCCATAACTTCCTTCGGGTGAATTCTGCAGGGGTTCCATGTGTAGGCAGTAGCACCAATATATTTTTGGCTTTACTTTGCTGTCTTACCATTGCTGGAACTAGTCACTGTTGATGGCAGTAAAATTGGGTGCTGGCTTAAACACCCGATGGAATTCTGCCCTTGTCCTGTATCTCAAGCATGGCATCTTTTTGGAGGGTCTCATGTGTTTCTTCCTGTGGTCGCTGCTAAATTTTGCAACACTCTAATAAGCTTGTCGATATGGATTTGTTGTAAGGTCAGTTCTATTTAAGATGTTGGCAATGAAATGCATAATTGGAAAAGAGTCGGCAGTAATTGATGCCAAAATAGTTTCTGAAAAGGTATAACCTTTATTTCTGAGTAAATTATGGGCCCGATGGAGGTAAGGGGCTGCAGCGTACCTCCAGTCTTACTTTGCGGTAACTCTTTGTTCCTTATTAGATTTGGCATTGCAGGCTGGACAAAGATATTTCTTCAGCAATAAGGTTTTAATTCCTATTTTAAGCTAATTTTTGCTGGCTTTATTTCTCAACTCAAACCCAGAGCAGTAAAGGAGCTGTAACTTACTGTGCCACTTTGCTACATTGCATTAATGTGTTAAAAGTCAAATTTGTGTCTCAGATGAATCCATATCCTTTCTACTTCTAGAGAATATTTGGAGAAACTGCTGAAAAGAATTTATATCTATCTCAGCTGATTATCTTGGATACACTGGAAAAATGTCTGGCAGGGGTGAGTAGGCTTGCATAAGCAATTGCTAAGCTGGAGTCAAATGAGTTGGAGAGTACAAGTCAAATGCTTGTGTATCTGTTATTACTGGTGCTAAAGTTAAAACTCATCTGATTTAGAGCAAAGTAGGATTAATGCCATTTTAAAACTACTAAAACTTCCTATAAATGCAACTAGTTGATATAATTGATAAACTAAGGGTTTGTGGGGTACTTTTTTCTCGCCTAAAATTAGTGATTTTTTTTTTCCCTTCAGTTAAATAACTCAAACTTTTGAACTTGTCCTTCCCACTACTCAACTAATTTGTGGAGTTATAAATAATTATTTTCTTTCAATAATTTGTTAAAAAGAATTGCAGACAGCTGTACTTAGAGATGTGTGGGAACTGGAGTGAGGGAAGGCACAAACCGAAATGAAGAATTAGATGTGGTTATGAAGCTTCGCTAGATTTTTATGAGCTTCGAATGCTTGTGGCATATTCTGCTCCATCCTTTTTGTATAGGTGCATGAAAACATTTTCATCCCACAATTTTAACTGAAAAAGCAATGGGACAGTAAATCAGGTTAAGAGTAGCAGATAATTCAGTACCTGCATTTTAAGTTTTATGCTAGTAGGTTTCCTGCATACAGTGCTGATTTTTCTTTAAATTTCTTAAAACTTTCATTTGGTGAACAGTTTTTTTCATGTACTTGTATATACAGCAGAAGCTTTGCTATCACTATTGTGAAGATGACTTTTGCAGGTGTTTCCTAGATGACATTAGTTAACCATGTCCAAACTTCCCCTGGGAGTCCAGTCCCGAGGTTTCCAATCAGAGCCGTGCTGCAAGGCAGTTTGCTGTTACCTTTGGGATGTAAGCGGTTGTACAGCTCGCTGTGCTGAGCTGTGTAATTGCAAAGCCAAACTTCACTGGGAGCAACATTTGCAAGGGTTTATTCCTTTAACAAGAAAGGAATTTTTTTTTTTAAAGCTGTATTCCTGGATGAATGTCATGAAATCATCTAAGCTCTCTGCTGTTGCCCTGCAACAGGTTTTGAAGGCTCTTCCTTTATAAGGTAATGACCTTATTACGGTTAGATTTGTCAAGCGGCCTATCTTCTGTTACAGCACTAGAACAGTCTGAATAATTGTGGATTCTTCTAAATTCACAAAAGATCCGGGTAAATACATTTTCCAAAATAATGTTCAGCTTTTACAGCTGAGGTAAATACCTCTCTTTGGCACTTTTTGTGTCTTTGATGCAGTGAGTCAAAAAAACTGTTTTAACTTCGCAAGTTAATTCTTTTCAAATATTTCTTATATGCATATTGTTTGAAACGTTAGTGGTTTTTTCCTGATAGATGATGATATTTGAACAGCCTAAAATTGTGCTGAATACTTCTTGCTTTGTCAATTCAAATGAGAGCAAGTTGAGCCAGTATATGTTTAATATGACTGAGCCAAAGTTCTATACAAAGAGCGTTGTGTTCTGTGATATCTTCAGACGTATTTCTTGCTCGCTGTTCTTGCTCAATGTTTCATCAAGTTCTCATGGCAACAGGACTCAGGTCAACTAAGTGGGAGTCTCTGAAACTTCCCAATTCCCTATGGTAAATTCATTGGTAGAATTTTAGAAAGCTTTAATGCTGACCCTTCTGTTAAAACTTGCTCTTAGTAGAGCAAAGTTTCACTTTGAATTCTTTCGTAAATAGTTTCCTTATGTCTCATACTGTGCAAACTGGCAGAAATTGGATTTTTCTTTTGCAGGAAAGTTAAGCCATTTTTGACTCACATAGAGCAATCCCAGGCAAGAGCAAGGGAGAAGCACCTCTTTTTTTGGTTCATTTTTTTTGTATAAAATATCTGCTGACAAAATACCGTGGTTAGAATACTACCCAAAAGAGAAGCAAGGGTGAGCCCTTTGATCTTCCATTCAAAGCCAAGATAGTTAATGCTCTGCTGCTAATACTTACACAGATCAACAGGATGCATGCATCGAAACAGAAATGGGTTTTACTTCAAAAACTAGTTTGATATTTTGCTTGATACTTGATGACATTGATCAGCTTGGTGTCCTACGTACTTTGGAGACTTAACTGAAAATGTGAGCTGGTTTGAGTGATATGGGTTGTTGTTCAAATGGAAGGACGCCTTTTCTGTGGACCACTTACGCTATGGTCAGTGGTAGCCTGCAGGCAGAATTAGAAGTTCAGATTCCGGTCCTGTGCCTACTACTGGCAGGTGCTCCATTTTTTTGCCTCCAAATGTACAAAATGGAATTTCATGAAATCCTGAATGTTTGTTTTTAGCAACCAAAGGATACCATGCGACTAGACGAGACTATGCTGGTAAAACAGTTGCTGCCAGAAATCTGCCACTTCATCCACACTTACCGTGAAGGGAACCAGCATGCAGCTGAACTACGAAATTCTGCCTCTGGGGTTCTTTTTTCTCTTAGCTGCAATAATTTCAATGCTGTGTTCAGCCGCATCTCCACCAGGTAGGTGTTTTTTCAGTAGCCTGAGTTCACATACTAGAAGATCTGCTAAATACTGGTGTCTAGAACATCTGTTGTGAATTGTAGTCTTTCTAATTTCAGAAAAGTTAATTGTTTAAATGGTATTTAACAAGATAGTTCTTAAGTAAAGCTCCCTCTACCTTTCAAAATTTTCCTTGGTCACAAACCAAACCTGTTTCCTATCCATTTTAGGTTGCTGCCAGCGTATTTTCTTTGAGCTGCCTTTATTGCTATTTTAATCTGCTTTCCTAAGTACAAGTGAAATGCTGTTGTAGAGTGCAATCAGCGATAACGCAGCTGAATGAGTTGAGTAAGTTCTTGCAGGTACAAGGTGTTTTGGAAGGAAAAGGATGCAGAAGATAATGGGTTGTATCCATCTACTTTTGAACTTAGAATGCAAAATTTCTGATTGTCTACAGCTCTGTTGGAGCCCCAAGGCTGTTTTCCTTCCTAATTTTTCCTGCTTGAAGGCTTTTATGTTAAATCTGTATTATGCCTGAAGGAGACCAAACCAGCTGGACTGTTTGTAAGTCGTTGGGAAAGACCCATTTGTCTTCTGATTGACTTGAATGTCACAGCGCGTTTACAGTAAAAATAACTGTCTTTTCTGCTCTTCTAAGTGAGAACAGAGACAGGCCCGAAGCTTCCATCTATTCTTTGCACTTTTTGCCCTGTTCCAGCTCTTTCTGATGCTTCAGCATTTGCCAATCCACTAGCGTTGTGTATTAAGCTTTTTATTACTGAAATACTCTGATGCTTTTTGGAAGTTGCTTGAGGTAGCTTAGCTCTTATCACAGGTTGTTACAGCTAACATCATCCGGGATTTATCGGAAGTGGAGCGCAGGCAGCCTTATGTGGTCGCATAGCAATGAGTGTGCCAATGTAACTGAAACAAAGATTTATATATTCCTTAGAATGCAAAAACAATTGCGTTCCAACATTTTGGAAAATATTTGCATTTTAGAAATCAGCCTAAAATTATTTAATGATTTGAAATTTTAAGTGTTTTAAAAACTTTTACAGAGCCTTTAATAACTTCTGTTTCAAGAACATAGACTTGGCAGCTAGCATGGAGGATGTGGTTTTACTCAGTAGGTTGATTATGTTTTGTTGCTTATGGAAATGGAAACAATTTCTTTTGCTCCTTTTATAGGAAGTATTTTTTTATTTTTATTTTTAACCTCGTCCGTGGATCTGTATGTATTCACGTGTCTGTGGCATGGTTTAGTTCTCAAGCTCCACAGCCCTTCTTGGCATCCATTTGAGCTGGAACAGACCGCTTCTTCCCTGACCTGTTTTTCACTTCGAGATGCTTGTGCATAAATAGTTAAATGTTTGGCCAGTTGTTGCTGATCTCCACGGGGGTCAGCTTGCCGACAGTTAGCGTTGCTGCTCTTTTGACCTGTGCTTCCTGTTTAGGCATATTTCTAGCCCTCGTACAGCAGCTGGGGGATTTTTGGCATGAAAAGCACGGCAGTGGGGACCTTCCCATTCCCAGCGAGGGCTGTTAAGTTTCCCTGGCGTTGAAGAAATGAAGAACTGCTTTTGTCTGTAGTACTAGAAATCGCATTCCATGTCTAAAACACATCTGTAGCTTTGGAACAAGGCATGGCAATCCTTAGTTTGTGAGAACATATGATTTAGTTATTAGTGGCTTAGTGTCTGATGAGCTGTTTAGTAAATCATCTAATACAAAAGCATGAAAAGATGCCGTTGTGTTTAAAATGGTGTGATTAAACTTCATCCTGTTTCTTTAGGCCAGAAAAACACGGACCTTCTTTAGCTTATAAAGAGTGGTTGTGGCTCACTTCAGCGATACTAAGTACCGTCAGTCACTGCGTTACTCTGGAGAATTAGCTGGGGCAAGACTTGCTGTTAAGGAGCAGTAGTCTGAGGGTGTCGTGATTCCGTAAATTTAATATTTAGATGAGAAGGTGATGAGATTACTGCTACAGTATGGTAGGTAAGAGGATTTAGGCAAATCTTGGGCGTAAGCAGACTATCACCAGATGGTTTGCTATCTTGTAAGACTCACCAGTAGTATTTCTAGATCCATTTTCAGTATGAGTATGGAATAAGACTGTAATATTAACTCTTAATCATGCAAGGTCTGTCTTGCACTTCTAAACCGGGAGATCGTGTTGTATGAGGAGATCGTATAATATCGCCCTGCTGTTCACATGCGCAGAATCATAGGTGTGTGTTCATACCTACCTGACCTAATCTGACTGAGAAGTCAGTTTACTTTGCATATTTTTAGATTACAGGAACTGACTGTTTGTTCAGAAGATAATGCTGATGTTCATGATATTGAACTTTTACAGTACATCAGTGTGGATTGTTCAAAACTAAAGCGACTCTTGCAAGGTATGATTGGAGCCTGTGTTTTGAAATATTTTTACCTAAATACGCCTAGCTAGAGATGACACAATGGTATTTACATGTATATCTTTTTATTGCTCTGTTGTACTCCAAATAGTCATATATTTACCAAAATATTTAAAAATACTTAAGTAGCATAAAGATGTTGGTTTAAAAATCGCTTTGCACTTCAAATGTCTGTGTTGCTTTTTAGAACCAAGCTTCTTTTCTAAATGCAGAAATGTTTTACCTTTACAGAGACTGTATTCAAGTTTAAAGCCCTTAAGAAAGTAGCTCAGTTAGCCGTTATCAACAGTCTTGAAAAGGTAAGTATTTTAATATTTATCTTCTGTTTCATTGCTTATTTGCAGACTTTATCTCATTTAGGAATAGTTGCAATTCAGTAATTTGCTATAAAATATACGTTGGTGCATCCTTCCAATGCATGTATGTTTTGCAAGAAATGTCGAGTGATGAGAAGTAAGAGTAAAATCTCTCCATTTAAATACATAATTGAGAAAAAAATTTTTTAAGCTCTGAAATGTAAAGATGTTTTGCGTTATCTGCAGGCATTTTGGAACTGGGTGGAAAACTATCCTGATGAATTCACAAAGCTGTATCAAACGCCACAGACTGATATGGCTGGTAAGGCATGACAAATGATGTAGCATTTAAAAGTTGGTTTCTCAGACATCCCCACATTCTCTTGCATTTTGTGCCCTCTTTGCTCCTTGTGCAGCCTGCAAATAAGAAACAAATTTCTGTCAACCTTTGTCAGGGCAGGCAAGGATATATGATGCTCTCTTTTCTCTTCTGACCTACCTTTTAAAGGGATTAATTTTGTGGTTCACAACACAAAGAAATAAAGCCCAAAAGATGGAAAGGCTTTAAATATGTATTTTTCATCCTGATACGGGGAAAAAAAAAACTTAAGAGAACATCACCTGTATTGGTCTCTAGGCAAAAAGAGAGGAATATTTATGTTTTCAGGTAAACCATGTCTTTAACTGGGTTGAGACCATTTTATCCCCAGTAGTGTGCAAAACAGAACTTTTTTTTTCTGTGTAGGTGGAGCTATCCCTCTGCTGTTTTATACCTCTTCTTTACCTTTTCATAATTAAAATTGGTATTGAACTTGGGGTTATATTTTGTGCAGATTGTGCAGAGAAGTTGTTTGACTTAGTGGATGGCTTTGCTGAAAGCACAAAACGTAAAGCAGCAGTTTGGCCACTGCAAATCATACTCCTGGTCCTGTGTCCAGAGATAATCCAAGATATAGCAAAGGATGTGGTAGAGGAAACTAAAATGAACAAGGTAAGAGAAGAAAAGTCTCTGACTTCTGGTTCTGATTTCTAGAGGATGCTCGTCTTTGCTTATTCTATATTTCAGGGACGTTTTATGTTGTCTTTTCCTGCCTAAAAAGCACATTACAATTCCATATGTAAATTTCTGCACCCTTTTAAAGTTCTCACCTAACATATGTTCTTTCCCTGTCAATAATTCGTACAGATAGTATGTCCCAAACAATGTTATTTCAGACCTCCTACATCTCCTTGGAGATTTGAATGCTAGTGGTGTGTTTTTCCCTGCCTCCACCAGTAGCAAACTTAGCATCCCATCTAGCTGGCCTATAGTGTAGTGCTCTGGGTTTCTGCAGTGCGCATGCTGGGTGTTCCCGAACTGCAGTACCTGTAGCAGATGTTGGATTTGACGTGGCTGCAAACGTTATGGTTGAGAGTAAACAACCATCTGTCTTTGTGCCATTCTGATTGCCCTAGATTGTTCAAAATTAATGTCTTTATTAAACAACATTTTTCCAGAACGCTGCATCAAGTTGTTTTTTGCAATCCCCGTATCCATGATTTCTGATCATGGATGCAATGTTGTTTGTTTTTAATATTTAAGGATCTAAAAACCCTGACCACGGATTACCAAAGCTCTGATTATAACTATTCCCGATTTGAATTCTGCAGAAACTGTTCCTGGACAATCTCAGGAAAGCACTTGCAGGCCACAGTGGGAGCAGACAGCTGACTGAAAGTGCTGCTATTGCTTGTGTTAAACTGTGCAAAGCATCTACCTACATCAACTGGGAAGATAATTCTGTCATTTTCCTACTAGTGCAGTCCATGGTAGTAGATCTTAAGGTAAAAATTACTGTTTCTTAATCACAGTGAAGAAATTTGAATTTTAAAATAACAAAATAAACTTTGAATTTCTCCTTAATTGCATACAATAGTGTTTTCCAGTGCAAAATTTTGTATTGAAAGGAGACATAAAGTATAAATCTTGGGATCTGATTTATGTATTTATATTTTTTTGGGTATATATAGAATTTGCTGTTTAATCCAAGCAAACCTTTTTCAAGAGGCAATCAAAATGCAGATGTAGACCTTATGATCGACTGCTTAGTTTCCTGCTTCCGCATAAACCCTCATAATAACCAACACTTTAAGGTGAGAACACTACTTACTGGTAAGTCATTCTCCACATACTATTGACAACCTGTCAATTATAAAAGATATGCTAACGGCAGCTGGAAGCTCGTAAATAAGTTCAACTGTATAAATATCCTCTAGTAATAAATCCCTGCATGTTTTTATAAATCTTTTCTTAGCTGGTTAGACTTTCTCATATTTAGATTTGACAGCTTTGTCAATTTAATAAAAAGGCTCCAGTATGTTATTCACTGTGATGAGAAATGAGGCAAAGAAAAAGATGTTCCTAAGTGGCTTTTATGTATTTTTATTGTAGATCTGCTTGGCACAGAATTCCCCATCAACATTTCATTATGTACTGGTAAATTCGCTCCACCGAATAATCACAAATGTAAGTTCTGAAAGCATTTAATCAGCCCAGCAATCTGTGGCTTCTATTCAGATCAGTATCTGCTTATTAAATACAATTTGAATAGTAGTCCAAATCTTGTTGCCTGTATCTGTGCAGCAAGATTTCCTTGCTAATAAGGAAGGACATACAAATCTTTGCTCACACTGTCCATCAGTTGGATTCCCAGTTTGAGAGCTTGTATTCCAGTATAAAATGTCAGTACAAATATGTTTTAATACCATCTAATGTAGGATGACAAATGTATCTTGTGTTCTCTGCTTTTATAATGGGTACTGCTTTATTGATACATGAAAAACACCCCCAGGATGTTCATCGTTACAGCACCCTCTACCACTTCTAGTAGATTGACATGAGAACCCAGGGGAAGAGCTGGCCTCAGGCTTTCCTCAGGGATTTGATCCAGTATGCATTTAAATAGTGTAAAATCGTAGTAAATGCTGAGTGCCAAAAACGTTTTGAAAGTTTGTGCAGTTGTTCATCTTCAATGTGTTACTGTACTTCAAGTCACTAAAATACGACTTCAGTTTTTATACTGTTCAGAAATACTTTCCTGATCAGTATGAAAATAGGATCAGTCGGTGTTGAGCAACTGGCCTTACGTAATGTACATAACATTTTCTATTTCACTTATCCGAACATCGTAATGAAAACACTATATTTGAAAAAAAAAAAAAGTATTAGACATTTCAGTGAATAGGGGAGAAAATGCTACTGTAGATCTGGTGGTGTATCCGTGGTGGAGTAATAAAGCTTTTCAGATATTATCAAGTACTTAAAATACCGATTATCCATTTTCTTTAGTGTATCACCGTGAATTGAGTGCACATTGCTTGTTTTGAAGTATCCTGAAATCTAGCATGGTTTCTTGCATGCATGGTTTCAGAGTTTGTGCTTGTTCAGAAAGAAGAGTGATACAGTAAGCAGCTCAGTTGGAAGCATTGCTTCCATTACAACTCATTTAAATGTTATGAGTCCTATGGTGAGAATGCAAAATTAACATATTGGTAATATGGTGTAAAATACTCACGGGTAAAGGTTAGTTAGGTATAGCTGTTGTAAGTTTTAGAGGTATAAAATAAATCATAATCTAATTCCTATATTACCAGTTTACTATTTGAGCATTTCTGTGTTTTCCTTCTAGTCTGCGTTGGACTGGTGGCCCAAGATCGATGCTGTGTACTGCCATTCCATGGAGCTCCGCAGCATGTTCAGCGAGACACTTCATAAAGCTATTCAGGGCTGTGGGGCGCATCCAGCGATTCGCATGACTCCGGTAGGACTTGTAAAGAAGCTGTTAAAACACAAACCTGTTGTTTTTCCCGTGTCCCCATTCCATTCCAGCTTTTTTATTCATTAACTTTAGACTGGAAACTAGAGGGGGGAAGAACATTGCAGTCCAAAAAGCAACAGAGCGCCATACATGCTCTGTAAACCTCGCAGGTTTTGGTGCATTGACTCACTGTTCCTAGTCAGTTAGTGATGTGTGTTTCTCAGTTTTCACGCTGCTCTTTTAACTGGCAACATGGAAGTATTTCTTCTGTAACTGTCCTCTGTGGCTAACTGTTCATTTTAAGCTTTCTTGCTGTGTGAATAGCTAGGTAATGTGTCCATTCCTGTTTAATCTGAAAAACAAAAGCATTCTATATGTGAAGATCATTTCTGAAAACTGCAATGCTTTTACCATGATTGGCATGAGTAGCTCTTCATTTGTCTTGCTTGCTTTCTGTTGAGCAAGTTGACTGTTTGGTCTTGGTGACAGCAACAAAGTAAAAGATTTTTCCAACTATTATGAAATACAGTCAATATTCTTGGTTGTCTTGGAAAAAATCTTGAGTAAATTCAAATTGGTAGTTCGTCCAAATTTTTTTAGTAAGCTCACATGCAGCTGCGTTGCCTTTCTTCTGAACTTTGCATTTAGGACTTGCGATGTGTCAAGTGAACTTGGTTGGTTGTTTTAGAAGGCCTAAAATGATCCATGAAAATATCCCTGTTGGGCTTCTCAAATGAAAGCAAACGATCAGAATAACTTTCCTTGAAAGCTACAACATGTTTAACTTGCTTTTTACATGTATATATTCATCTGTTGAGAAAATAGCAGGGGTGTTGTAATGGCAACTCTGACATTGATTGGTGGTGCTTTGTCTTCTGCTTCTTATTTTCCGTTCTTATTGGCTGCTGTCGCTCACATGGTCAGATGCCAACCAGTCACTGTTTTGCATGGCAGTGGGCCTCTGTTGCTGTAAGTATGACCCATTGTAACTACCGCAGAAAAGCCTTTCCTTGCTCTGACTTTTCTGTGCATAGTTACCACTGCAGTCACTCCATCTGGGGTACAGGAGGTAGCATGCTTTACCTGAGAACGTAGGGCTGGAGGAGACCTCATCGGCACTCTGCTTGGCAATTGCTGGGCCGTCCCTTTCACAACCAGTCGAGCTCCTTCCTACAAGGAAGGGCTTTTTGTTGGTTCTGTTCTTTTCCTTCTGCCCCCTACTTGTCCATCACGATGCTTTTCCAGAACCTCCCCGCTCTGGTGGTTAGAACCGTTTTCTAATTTCCAGCCTAAACTTATTTATGTCTAACTTATCCCCATTTGTTCTTGTACCAGTGTTGTCTGTTAGCTTCAAAGTGGTGTTTATCCCCTTGGTGTCTTTGCAGAGAGCAGTCACGTCCCTGTCTTTGTTTATTGATAGTCTTTAGTTTTGGTTGTGTGAAGTGAATAAATCACTTCACAGAAACAAATCGGCTGCTTCTGCCACGTGCCTCTTAGAATTCCCTTAACCGTAGCAAACTGAGGTCTAGTACAGACTTAGGCACCTCTACCAGTGTGGTATCAATTTCTCGATCAGATGGTTTTTTATGTAGCAGATTTAATTCTGTATATTTTCACAGTAACTACTTGGCAAAAGAGCACGGGGTACTAATTTCTTGTGGGATTTAATTATACAGTGTCATATCTCTTGTTCAGTTACCTGGGGGATCATTTCAAGCTAGCTTTTTTTTTTTTTTTGGTCAGAACTTGTAGTAGTGAAAATGAAATACAAGTTCATGTTGTTGTTTGAGATCTTCGCAAATAATAAACTAGTTTAAAAATAAATAGTTTTAAAAGCTGAGTTTCTAAAGAGTGTTGTGTTCTGTCTTGTGTTGAATATCCACAAAGGCAGGTTTTTCGTCCAAATTACTGTCTTGTAATTGTGGTAGCTGTAAGCAAAAAATACTGATTTAATCCCTGCTGATGTAAGATTCAAATTAATGAAGATATAAATTTTGTAAACTTACTGGAGGCAGGTGAAAGTCTTTTGTCTTTTGACATACTGGGGACCAATTAATGCAAGTTCACTTTTTTACACTTGTATTTATGTGTGTACGTTTGTGAACACACAGAGAGATACATACAGTATTCTTCCCAGACTTTAGCATGCATCCAAATTATTTTGTTGAGATGAAGAAACCGCAGCTGACTGGCACACAGCGGGGTGGTTCGCTCTGGAGGGTGGTGCATGCGCTAGGATTGAAGCACAAACTCAGTTTTTGAAATCCTTGCAACCAGTACAGTCCATATACACTTAATTCTCAGCCAACGCTGTGTGTGACTGTTTGTTAAATGTACTGGTCATATTGCTACCGGGATTCTGTTGTGTGAACGCAGTAGTGGAATATGACCCAGTTCACACTGGATTCAGACCGGAATGCCTTATGCGAACTCTCAATACAAAATGTCCTCTATTTCACACGAGGAACATGACTGGTACAGAGGTAGTTTACTGATTTTGCAGATTATTTTTGCTAGATTATTTTTTTTATTGTCATTTAAGTGATGCACTATATACCTTGTGAAAACTGAAAGGTGCATTTTTCAGAGGCTGTACAGATGAAAATGCTATCATCGGACTGTGATTATGGCAGGAAAAAAAAGA